TGGCGGCCCCCACTTTGAAAAACACAGCCCTAACAGACCATAAACTGCTCCCGCAGAGCCGTTAACTCCAGGGTTTCCCTTGTTGTGTTACTGACGTCCAGATATACGTGTATATGGTGTGCACAGTTTCCTTCCACCTCATGTACCACATGTGATGCGAATGACAATAAAGAAGTTTGAACCTTCTGAGCCCATTTATCAATAAACCATCGGGGAGATTTGTTGTGTTCACGCAAATGATTTTTTCTTTTTGAGACAAAGGTGAACGTTTTAAGATCTTAGCAAAAATAAACAGAATTATTGTTTTCAAGGTTTTCTCTAAATAGTTTAACACTTTTAACAAAAACGTTGCAGTTTTATGAAAGATTTTAAAGCTGTTTTCTTTATTTTGTTTCAAATGAAAACCCAAATTATTTCCCACTCTCGTTCCTTTAAGGCTCTTTATTGCTTCTTGGCTGCTTGTCCTTGTCTCTTGTTGTCAGGCCATACTTTGTGAAATTATTACTTCTAGTCGTGGTAAAGCCATCTCTCTCTCACACACAACTTTTAAGAAGTTATTTATGCCTTTATTTCAACTGAGCTCGATTATTTCAGTCCCCTGTGTGATCATCTCTGACATCTTCAGCTGCTTTAAAATACAGCTCCGTCTTTAAACGCACACCACAACAACGGAGCGTGTGTCCCTGTTCTTACGTTCTTTTCTTCTCCATAGCTTCATATTTCTTAAAGAATTGCTGTTTTTTACTTATTTGTGTTGTGGCCTTGTCCAGTTATAAAAGGCCTTTTACATCTGATCAACCAGATACTCCAGGATGAAAAAATAAGAGTATCCTGTTTTTACACCGGCTGCTTTATTTTTTTAACAGGAGCAACTTTTTTGTTTATTAAAGAACGTTTCAAAGCTTCGTTTTATAAGTAACGGCAAACCCTTTATTTCATTTAATTGCATTTTAAAAACATCTAGCGCCCTCTGCCCTGAAAGATGGGTGATAATGTAATATCCAGTGTCTGTGTGTTTGTCTGTAAACAAACGAAGTCACGAACCACCGGCCAGATCTTCATGAAACCTTCAGAAAGGAACCACTGAATGTGCATCTAGCTGCTGAACCTTCGGGCTCAACCTGATTCAAGACGATGCAACAAAAAGTTCACCTTCGCAAACACAAAACGATTTAGCCAACGTTGAGCGAAAACTTGGTGTGGTAGTGTCTGAGAGTCTGTCAGGCTTTATGAAGAGATGGGCACACAAAACCAGACCACATCGCCAGATGAGAAAAGCTGGTGTGTCGGCCACATGGATCCTCCTTCTCCATTTTTCTCTGTTTTCTTGTGGGACAGAGTGTCTTCATATCCTGCTGGATCGTATCCATCTACCTCTTCTGCCGTCCTCTGCTTTGTTGATCAAAAACTTCTGTGTTCAATAGCCTTTTTACCTTGTTGTCATCTTCCATTTGCTGCACATGCCCATACCATCTCATTCTTGAGTCCTGCATCTTATCCGTGATGCATGCCACGCCAAGCATTTTTCTGACATCGTCATTTCACCATCTTGAGGGATATTGCAAGAATCCCACCTAGCATCTACATTTCTGTTCTTTCTAGGAGTTCCTCTTCCTTTCTCTTTAATGCTCATACCTCAGCTCCACAAAGCAAGACTGGGTGCACCATCATCTTGTACACTTCCCCTTTAATATGAATTGCCGTCCTTTTGTCACAAAGCACTCCTGTCAGCTTCTTCCATTTTTGCCACGCCGCACCAATTCTTCATTTAACGCCTTCTTCATGGCTTCCTTTGGCATTTACCACTGACCCCAGATACTTGAATGTTTCGACCTGCTTCAGTACATTTTCTCTATTATCAGTAATTGTTAAGGTCTCGTTAGCTTTTGAGCAGACCATGGTCTCTGTTTTTGCTGCTTTTATTTTCAGACCTGCTGCCACCATCTGAAACTATCTTGAAGATTAACTTCAGAATCTCCAGCCACAACTAGGCCATCTGCATACGACATATTCCACAGCACTTCTCTCCTAATAAGCTCAATAACTGTGTCCATCAAAACAATAAACAACAGTGGGCTGAGACATGAACCTTGATGAACGCCAACTTTAATTTTAAACGCTGTTGTGTTGCCTTTGCCAGTTCTGACTGTTGTTTTAACACCTCGTACATGGAACTAACAATCAGAACTAGCTTCTCCATAATGCCTTCCTGTCTGAGGCTCCAGTAAACCACCTCTTTACACTGGCTCCCAGTCGAGTTTAGAATCCGTTTCAAAGTTCTTGTGCTGACGTACAGAGCTCTAAATGGCTCCTGTGTATCTTTGTCAGCTTTTAACCAAATACTCTGCTGCTCGTGGCCTTCGTTCCCAGTCACAGAACCTCTTGGATGTTCCACGTACACGGCTGAAAACTAAAGAGGACAGGACCTTTCAGTCAGTGGCTCCAAGGCTGTGGAACAGTTTGCCCCTGCAGCTTCAGACTCTGTGGAGGTTTTTAAAAAGCAACTGAAAACACTTTTATTCACCCAGGCTTTTATGTCATGAGTTTATTGTGCTTCTTGAAGCTCTTGTGCTTGTTTTATTCTTTGTATATTTTAGCGTTGATTTTTATCGCACAGCGCTTTGTGATTTTATGTCTGTGATAAGCGCTTTATAAATAAACTTTACTTACTTACTTATTCTTGCAGGACTCTGTCGAAAGTCTTTTCCAAGTTCACAAACGTCCAGTATCTGTTATTGTTTCCCTCCAAGACTTTTTCCTGAACCTGCCAGAAAATTAAAACTGTGTCAGTCGTGCTCTTTCCGGGCACGACTCCGAACTGGTTGGAGTGGATTTTTACTTTTTCCCGTATCTGCCTTTCTTTTACCCTTTCGTATACTTTCAGAGCAGCTTCCAGCAGTTTGATGCTTCTGTAATTTCCACATTCCAGTAAAACTTTGGGCTTGTAGAAGGTGACTATCTCTCTAGCTGTTAAATCTTCTGTGAGTTTCTCTTTGATCAGAAACTTGTTTAAAATAACTTGCAGCCATCCTGGTCCTTATTGATCACGTTTCAGAAGTCATACCAGGCGGTCCCGGTGCGTTGTTGTTCTGTGTGTCAGTAAACGATGCAAAATGACAAAAACTCAAGGAGAACCAAACTGGGAATGAAGCCACAATGCAAGACTGCAGCTGTGGGGCAGACTGGAAAACTAAATGGACTGAGGCTGGTGGGGAGACTGGAGAGAGGTGGCTTAATGGTGACGAGGAACAGGTGAAGGTGAATGTGGGACGACTGAGGAGAAGAAGCTGATTGAGGAAAAGTACTCGGAATGACAAGAAACACAAGGAAGCATACATGGAAAACACAAGTAATAAACATAAACATAAACAATAAGAAGGAATCTTAAATGAATCACAAACAACACGATTACAAAACTAAACTCATAAATCAAACAAAAACACCAAGAGCCCAGGATCGTGGGAGTCAAACGTCAAAGTCGGTGCCAAAATGAATATTTCACACAATGATCAGCACTCAGTGTCTTTTCAGGATCACTCTCTGCTACTACCACAAGTTGTAGCTCAGTACAGCTGATTTGTGTAAGAATGATTGTCAGTGGAAGCCATCTTGAAATGGATCAACTCCTTCAGTTAATCAGCTCAATATGTACATACCATAATTACTATCTGAGCGTTTCAATGAAGTATGTCCTGTGATTTATGAGATATTTTGCTAACTGACCACCCCAAATAATCAACCCCCTCAAAATGGCAACAACTCAGTCAATCCAACATGTTTCAGTCTGAAACGTTTCGGCACAAAAAAAAGAAAGGGTCCAGATGACCTGACTGAAAGATGTTGGATTGTATACGTGGATTATTGAGCATGGACTTTGTTGTTTTCAACCAGTTTGACACAACTCAGTCAATGTTAAAGATACTAAGTTTGTATTTTTTGTGTTTGTTAAGGTTGCTTATCTGTGACCTCCACCTTGAGGGGGTTTGTTTCCACAAGGTGCTGATGTATATTCAGTGATTACCTTAAGAGTTTCATTAAAATGAGC